CCGCCAACGGTAGGAAAAAAAAAAAGGGCGGGCCCCATGCACACATACGTACATAAACACACACATAGTAGCTCAGATCGTGTATTCGGCTTTGGTGAGCTTTACCAGACCCACACACGGCAGATGACTCACACACGGTAGATCAAGCGAGGGGCCGGGGGCGGGGCGAGCTTGTGCATACTTGTAGAGAAGCTGAAAGCCTGAAACCCCTGCAGGATAAAGAGCTCAACCTGATTGCCAAATTGGAGAGTTTCAAACGGACACAACAACTTTCCGGTCCACATCCTACAGACAGACAGGGTAGATCTGGCGAGATTAATGCAATTACATTTGGGACAGCTGTAGCAAGGTGTGCATGTATGATCACGTGTAATAAGCATGACATCAGCGAACCAGTGCCTAACAATCTACCACACTCTGAAATATCATGTACGGACAGCGTGTCCTGTAACTTCACAAGAGAGGACATCAGGTGAGTTGTAGGAGTTTTTGTCTTCGGGCACTTCCTCGCTGACTGAATGTAAGCAGAGGCGCATCATGGGCTCCAGCGCGATCTTGCTGACGATGGTGAAGGACACCTGCACCACCTGCGTCATGCAGGGGCTGTCAGCTGGAGAGCCCTCTCCGACACAGTTGACTTGATTTATCCACAACATGATGAAGAACCGTGACGCTCAAAGCATGACGAGCACGGAATCCTGCACCTGCAAGGACCGCGAACTCTGCACTTCTCCGGCATCACAACCGTGTTTCTTCAAGGCTCATCTTGGGATTTGCCCGTTGCATCGAGGCGATTCAGTGCCGGAGATATGGGGGATCAGTCTTGGGGAGGCACCCCAGAATGTCTGCTGTGCATCTGCAGCAGCAATGGCAGCGACTAGTGGTAGCAGCAGAAAAGGTAGGAGCCTTAGTACCAGCAGCAATTAGGGTTTAGGGTTTAGGGGTCTTAGTAGCAGCAGCAATAGAAGTAGCAGTGACAGTAGCAGCAATTCACAGGACAGGGGGAGAGATCATCGACAACGGCTGGAGCCCATCAGCAACCCTGGAGCATAGGATCTCCCGATGCTTCTGTTCTTCCCACGACAGAACAAGAGGCTTCGGAGACCAAGACCTAATATAGGGGCCTTAACAATTAGCATAGGGTTTTGGGGGTTTCTTCACTATAACTATGTCCAGGCCAAGACCAGATTCCCGA